TAAGTTGGCAGTCAATCCCAAACCCGCTGGCAGCGACCCTCCGATCAGAGAGCCAAGCATTCAAGTGGGTTCTGCGCCAGGCGGAGCGGGGGCATGGCGTCAATCCTGTTTGCATTTCACTTCACCACCACGCAAAGTGCGCTGCACAACGACGTGCGTCCATGTCCGCCTTATTTATTTCATCCGCCACCATAGCGCGCGGAGCGCGGGGCGTCAGGTCATCTCATCAGACAAACCCCACTTCGGTATCAAAGTCATTCGAGGCCCGCGGGAGGGGGCGGGCCCGACGGGCACCCCCGAGGAAGAGGAGCCCATCGCGGATTGATTGGCGCGCGAAAGGGGCGAACAGCGCGGAAAAGGATGATGCCGACGGGAAGAGTGGCTGTATTGGGCTGGATGCGAGGAGGGTGAAGGGGGAGGGCGGTGGAAGGGCGTCGAACTTGGGCTTGATCTACGGCGCGCCGCGCGCACCAGGCCGGGTCTACAGCACTCATTCGGAATTGTGCGGCCGGGCCGGCACGTAGAGACGTAGACGCATCCCTCGGGCGGGCGGGCGCGGCGACCCACCAACCCACGAGGTCCCCCCCCCTCCGCCTCCCCCGGCCACCACCCTCCGCGGCGAAGCCGACCGGGAGAGCTCGCGGTGTTGAACGTTGGAGCGAGGTTGGAGTAGGGACTGCTCTGGAGTCTCGAATCCTGCTCCTGATCCCGGCTCCTCGCTGGAAACTCTTACCACCGTTCTGCCGTGCTAAGGAAAAACGCCGTATGCACCTCTAGACGTTGCCAAATTTCCTTCGATAAAAACCGAATGTAACCCTTCATTGCATAGCGTTGCATGAAAACAACAAATGTTTTTCAGCTTTATTTCCATGCTGGAGTATTAAATTGAATCAAAGTAAGAAATCATTTTAGGGGAACATTATAAGTCTGATCTCCTTGCTTAGAAAAAACCATAAAAATCGATTCCAACCGACACTAGTGTCAAAAAAATACTGTACAATGTAGATTTTTTTTCCAAAATCAACGATTGGCTCATGCAACAAAGGGTTAATGGGACATTTGTGAATATTTCTTTCCAAAATTTTCGAACGATTTCGTACGCAATTTAATCTAAAATGTCTGAAAATTTCAAGGAAAAATAAGCATAACTTTCCTCAAAAATACATATATTTCATTCGGGGAAATTTGGCAACTCTCGAATGTTCAGACGGCGTTTTTCCATAGCACGGCGGCGTTCTGAGCTCCCGTAATACAGAAAAACGCCGTATTATACTGCCGCGCTAAGGTAGAACGCCGTATGAACATTCGAGAGTTGCCAAATTTCTTCCGACATAATGCTGATTTTTTAGGAAAGTTATCGATATTTTCCCTTGAAATTTTTAGACTGTTTAAATCGAATTACGAACGAAATTCCCTAAAAATAGGAGGGAAAATGTTCATAAATATTCCCAGAAATTTGCGATTCATCGTAGGAAATTTAGCAACGTCGAAAGGCTCATACGGCGTTCTTCCTTAGCACGGCATAACAGTCAGATGATGTCAAATCCCACCCCCTCGCCCCTCAATTGAATATGCTCTTCTTTGAAATGATGGTTACGAATGTTTTTCCCGTGAAATTTTCGATGCTTTAGATCGAAATGAGAACAGAACTTCTAGACAATTTTCTGAAACTCTGAAAAAATCAAAGGAAGCGTTCCCCAATTTTCCTGATAATGCGTCTAGAATGAGAGGAAATCCGGCACAGTCCGTAAATCATACGGCTACGGCATGTCTTCTACTTTTGCGAATTTTTCGGGAAATATTATTCGCAATCTATTGTAACGCTACTAAGAATTTCAAGGAGCAATATTCATAACTTAGCCCTTAAAAATCACAATTTTCATGATAAGAAATTTGGCAACGCCGGAATCATTGGAAGGCGTTCTTTTTCAACACGGCAGCATGAGGATCCTGCCATTGTTAATCTAAAAAATATGAGATCTCCAGAAATCCTGCGTACATATTCCTTGTAATATTTCAGAGATGTCTGAAAGCAATTTAGTCATCTAAATCCTTCTGAGGTACCTATCACTCAAACCACATTACGATAAAATTCCCAGGTTCCCAGAATCGGAGGCAAAGAAAGGTTATGTCTATAGAAGAGCTCTTTCAGGGGGCAAAATCATGGTTTCTTTTGAAGAGAAACATTTGATCAGGAGAAATATGGCAACGTTCGAATGCACATAGCAGCATGCTGCTGTGCTTCGGAAGAACGCCACATGATGGCTCGAAGGTTGCCGAATTTCTTCTGATAAAACACACACACATTTAGAGAAGACTCTGTTTGTGTACTGGGTGTTTTTAAATATTTCCAAGTCTAATTTTATCAAGGGCGCCAAGATATTTCAAGAAAATACATTCTTGACTTTTACCAAAGAACAAACGCTACGGGTATGAAACTGTTAGATACTCTGGGTCGAAAGGCGAAGAAAATTCTTTGATGAGTTAGAGAAAAAATAAGAAAATTCTTTGAGGAGTTAGAGGAAAAATATGGATAAGTTTTCCTGAAAATTCGCACTTCATTGAGGGAAATTCGGCAACGACTAAAGGCTCATACTGCGTTCTTTCTAGCACGGTAGGATTTACTTTGGACCGTGAAAACGGATCGGGACACCTGCTCGAAACCGGAAAAAAGGCTCGCATTGTTAAAACCGGGAGTCCATTACCGCTTGAGCCACGTAGGGCCTTTATTCAAGTCAATTTTAGGGCTCACGTGGAGAGGTTTATATTACTGAGGGTTCAAATGCGACGCGGATCAGATTCAATTGCTAATTGGACAGCGCACGAAGAAGAGGAGCCAGTTTACACGACAGATTCAGGGTCAACCCCCGACGTTATTTTAGAGGGGTATGTTCCGTCCGACTGACCGTGGATCAAGAAGAGACCCCGTGAGCCCCCAGGGCTGAGCCTGTCTGGGCCAGAAGGAAATCAAGAAGCAGAAAATGGGGTGAGGGGGGGGGTGTATGATTGTTGGGGAGGTGGTAACTTTTCTCACACAATACCTTAAAAAGGAAAACAGGAGCCTTGGGTGTGTTGGCTCAAGGGGTATAAAACAGAGAGGCTCTGAAAGAAGGAAGGGAATGGAATTCTATTAAAAAATAGTTGAGCTACTACTGTGTCCATAGGCGGAATTTGAAGCAGTACTTTAGTTTTGTTTTGGAAAGTAATGAAAAGTCAGTAAAATGCATTGTGTCTCTGTATCTTTCTACGGAGGCAGGATACAGAAGGAAAACCTGTGAATCAGTCACTCAGGTTACTGCTTGTAAGGCAATTTTTCCTGAAGTATGAGGCTCATATTTTTAAGGTAGAGGCTCAAATTCATCAGTGCAGGGACAGAAAAAAAAGATACCGGATCAAAAGAAACAATGCTGAACGCTTTTGGATATTCTTAAAAAAAATTGGCTCAAGATTTCGAGCCACATTTAACATTATCAAGATATTTTCTAATGCTGGCAACAAAACTGGTGAACTTCAAGTGTTTTTCTTCGATTCACTATTACCATCCTCTTAAATAAGAGTTGTGAGTTCTCTCGGTCAGTTTTCGACTGACCTTTGCTCGGAATGTTTCACCCTTCTAAGGTGAGGCATAGTTACTTAATTTATATGTTTTCAACACTGGGAACCCTCTTGCTTGATTTGAGCACACATGATGACTGGAGGTATACTTTCCCAAATTAAAATTGGAGGGTAATTACAACACCATCATCAAGAAGTTTGAGGCAAGAGAGCATGATGAAAAACAGGAGACTATTCGTTTTTAGTTCTTGCCGCCTTTCAGTTTACACTTGACAGAAGCAAGCTGTTCCTTTGCCCTCACCTACTATTCTATACCGTCAGCAGGAAGCTAAAAATTGCCTCGATTATTGTCAACGGACTTCCTGATAAACTCTACTTAAATTCTCTCCAAATTTATTTAATCTCTACCAAGAGGTCATGATTAATTCTCTGTTAATAACAACAGATATTAATGAATTTAACATGATCCCACCAGAACATTGGTCACATTCTGCATTCTCCATAGAAGATTTAAAGAAATTTCTATCTGCTCAATTTCAGTGGCATGTGAAGACTAAGGATTTTAAGATTTCACTCACTCATTGCTGAACATGGTACCAGTGGCCTGGCTACTGCCTTATCGTAGTGAAACAAGACCGTAATTTTTTGGCAACTTGGAGAGCTTTATTTGAAGATTACTTGATTAATAGGCAGCTAGTGCTTGGAACTTGTGTCATTGAAAATATTTAAGGAATTCAGTGTGCTCACTGCAGCTTGTCCTAAAACCTATAAAGCTATACCACTGAAAGCTCTTGGGTCTTTAAATGTCAGGATTCTCTGAAAGTAGAGGTGATGAATAGGTCAAAAAGCCCAAAGGAATAACTTCATGATGAAACTACAGTAAATCATTGCAAACTTCCTCAATATGTTTCGCTGGCAAAATAAATAGAGCAATTAACGCGACTAAAAACACTACTGTGAATTGTGCGATGGAGGTGAGCGACTTGGATGGATCACATCTTTAGAAACGAGAGGAGTAAATACCTGAAAGGCTTAGGTAGCCACTAAAAGGACCCCAAAAGAAGGGAATCCTTATCATAACGATAAAAGCAGGGAAACACAGTTGAGAGACTTCATTATCTGCCTCTTGCTTCTTTTTCCTAGTATCCTTCTTGTTATCTGCTCTGGTTTTCTGCGCCTCAGAAAACCGGTAGCTGATACATTTTTAGGTATAAAAATTTGTTTTATTAAAAGTACAAATAAAACATCAAATTCTATTAAATAGTCAAGGAGACTTTATAAACCTGAGCCTTTTGTCTTTTGATTAGCCTTCACACCCTCCACTCTCAGTGCATTCGAATGCAAATTTATTTTATTTTGAAGTCCTTAGATCTGTCATTGAAAATGCTTCACATTGTACCAGGTTATGTTATTTATTAAATAAATTGTTCAAAAGGGTTACTCACCGGAAGTCATCAGACTGAAAGGTGTTAACTGTTGGTATGAGCCAATCCTTCGAGATTCTTTCACTTCACTTAGGTTCCAAAAAATCACAATTAATCCAAAATCGCAGATGAGAGAGCCACATATCACTGCTATCCGCAAGTTGTGATGTTGTCAAGAACAGTCTCTGAAAGATGACATCATGGAGTGTAGTTAGAATTGATCATAAGTAGTGGTAATGCGAATAAAAAGGATTGTGAGAACTTCAGGGACATTAGTTAATTCAAAACTTAATCTGGTAAAGTGCACAGCATTCTTAATTGGACTGAGTTAAGCAGAAAGGAACCAACCCGCATTTTGGAAAAAATTGAGTTATGAGTGGTTTTGAACTCAACCATTGCTCTACTATCTATCGCCAAAAATTCAAAGTTTTTGTTGGAGCAACTTTTACAGAAATTGAACTTGAAGTTTATCTTTTACATTGAGTCTTATGCAGGAGCCAAACTTTAAACCTCTTTTTCTCGGTTCGATCCCGATGTGGCTTGGTTCCTTTCTGTTTAACTCCGTCCAATTACAAGTCTATGGACTCAGAGACAAAATAAGTTACAGTCCAATGCACTGAGAGTAGAGGATGTATGGGTCAATCAAAAAACAAGAGACTTTGATTAATAAGTCTCTTTGGCTATTAGATACAGTTTAATGTTTGTTCGAATAAAATAAACCCAATATCACAAGCATGCGAGAGGCTGCAAGATGTACTGTTGGCAACGTTCTGAAATCAAGGAACTGATTTCGTCAGAACTCTTCAAAGCTGAGCCTGATAGGTTCTTAACCCATGGATGTAGCTAAGATTTCAAAGAAAAACAATGCTGATTCTGAGAGTTGGCAGGACTAAAGAAATTCTTTTGGGAACAGGGTAAGTGCCTATTTGATACGATATGTCATGGTCTGAGTTCAGCGGTCAGTGACACACTTGCTATCAATGCACGCTCATGTGGCTCTACTCTTAGAGCTGAACCTGGGTATCTCTCTTTGCTAATACTAGGAATGTGTCTCAGGTTCCAAATTGAACGCAAGTAATTTGTACTACTGACTAGATCCATCCTAATAAGTAGTACGCGTGACTTAGGTAATCATCTCTAAACTGCATAAACAGAACGCGCACAGGTGCCAGACCCCAGACATGCTAATGTCTCGCAAGGCTGAATTACCTGCTCTGATATACAGAAATACACAGGGAAATGAAAGACCAGTTAACAAGATGGGATCACTATCACTTCAGGATTCCCAGAAGAAGGCTCATCTCAGTAAGTAAAATCAGTGCAATACCAAGTTGGCAACTCTGCATACGTGAAAGTAAGGTTATGCTAATGTTGTGAATAATTGACACGAACAGATTCCCAAATTTCAGCCCCAACCGACGAATAATCATCGCAAATGCTGCGATCAGATGAATTTGGGTTCAAGTGCTGATAATAGGGAGTCCATGAACCTTTCGGCTAATCTAATCCCTTCAGATTGAAGATAAGGCCAGCGAAGGCTGGAGGTCCGAGTACGAGTTGGAGGCCAGAAAATCGAAAGAAGCAACAAGTACCGAAGTTGGAGAGAAACTTAGACGAAAATTACTTACTTATCGTGTGACTAGGTTGAAGGTGTAGAACAGGGATAATCCATTAGCTTGCATTTCACAGACGGTCACAAGCACAACACACATACACTGAAGATCACGAATTCACGATCACGGAGGGCCCGACCTTCACGGGAGCAAGTCAAGTCGAAACTAATTCAAAGCGGGCTGGATATTTCAGAGCGGTGGGGGACCTTGCTTTCCTTGCAGAGGAAACGTCGAACGAAACAAAAGAGAATGCGCCTCGCCGTGCGCAGACGACCATTTTTTGTTGGCATGAGAACGGTGCCAGACGCCGCTCTCTACGCGGACCAATCGCGAGCGGCGTTGCATACGGCGCTTCTCGCTCGACCAATCAGAAACGCGGACTGAGGCACCACTCCAAATTACTTGTGAAAGCGAACGGTGGACGCTTCTCGTTCCCCTCGCTTTGTGATTCAGAGAAACGATCCCCCGCTACACCCTCCTTCCCATTACCCTGCCCGTTCCCCGCACCACACTTCCGGCTCAAACCCCACTCGTTTGGCTTCTCACGCGCTGATGTGGAATGAGAGGCCTATCCGCTTGAGTGTATAATCTCCTTTGAATAATTGTATCCAAGCCGTATGAGAGAGGATGAAATTAAGAAAAAAAGAGGCACTCCCCTCGTCCGATACAACCATGAATCTACCGCCATCTTATACATGGAGACAATCTGGGTCAGGCTTCCATACACATATAAATTAAGAAGGGGGATAGGTTGTCTTCGAAACACGAATTTCGATAGCTGTCTTCGTTACAACGCCCAAATATGGATCGTGGTAGCCGTGTTCGCCACATCCATCAAAATCAGCATGATGTGCATTTAACCCAACGCCGATCGTCCAGAAACTCTCAGAGACCACACCTTAGGTAGGTACCTACCATGACTGGATGGAACCGGAAAGTAAAGTATCTATGAGGTCTTTTGAAAAAACACATGTTGACGCTTAAACTGCTGCAGTAGTGCGTCCACGTAATACCTACCTATCTCATTTGCAGTATTTCTAAGTCTCCATTGAATGAGGAAAACCAATGCTATCTCTTGGAATTTTCACAGTAATTCTTCACAAAGAATTCAGAGAGGAAAAATCAGGAAAGTTTTCAAGAAATGACGTTGAGTATTATTCAATTCGAAAAATAAGGTGTGATAAAAAGTCTGCAACGTCGCAAATCGAATTACGCGTTCCCAGGGCTGGATTTAGGGGGTGGCAACATGGGCCGCGGCCCATGGCGGCAAATTTAGGGGGCGGCAAATTTTGCACTTTTTTAATGTAGCTATAAAGAAAATTCGGATTCAGAAAAAAATTACAAACAAGAAAAGGTGGCAAAATCGCTCATTTCCGGAGAGTATATCTCTAATTTTGTCGTCTTTCTGTGATACAATAGACAGTACTTTTAATCAGTCGAGCTAAGACTAAGAGAGAAACCGAACACGGAATTTGGCCTGGAACGACGCGGCGCAGAGAGCAAGGATGAAGAGAACTTGAGGTGAAAAGGAGAAACCCGCGGCGCGGTGACGGTCGGCATGTAACACATATGAGCGCCTACAAGACTGCATGAATACTGCACGCATTGCGTTAAAGACAGTGCGGTCGCTGCGGTTAGCAGCGGGCAGCGGCGCGCGGCGCGGCGTGAGACGACGCATAGCGCCTACACGACCGCATGAATACTTCACGCATTGCGTCAAACACAGTGCGTGCACTGCGTGCAGCGCATACAAGACTGTAGGAATACTTCACGCATTGCGCCAAACACAGTGCGGTCAGCGCGGCGACGGAAGTTAAAATTATTGAACCTTATGTTTGTTTTTTCATAATTTTTTCGTCGTTCATTTCATTTATATGGAAGGCCTTGTCCACACAGAGAAATGTTTACGGACCTTAACGTTTGCGCCAAGTTCCGTGAACTTTCGCTAGTAGTGTTGACAGGGCTTTCGCAAAAAAATGTGTCCAACTCGAGTAAAGGCAGGTATGCATAACGAGTATGCACCCATCCCCCTCTGACACGTTCACTTGATGGTTTTTATTGATGTTTCAAAACGAATGAGGAGGGGGCGGCAAAATACAGGCGGCCCATGGGCGGCAAGTAAGTAAATCCGGCCCTGCGCGTTCCTGCAGTTTCACCGCCGATTTGTGCAATTATCGTTTCAAATTCCTGTAAGGGCTGTCAACAGAGCGTTAGGAATCGGAAGTCGAAGAAGAGGAGGAAAAAATATGAGGTGGGGGCAGTGGCTTAAACAGGGAGAGGGAGTCCCAGAGGGTCTGCCCCCCCCCTCCATAGCCTCGTTGATTGTACCTTTTTTTTTTACTTTTGGAGGGCAGACATAAAATACTAACAGGGACGTACACAAAGTAATGTAAATTTACAGTCACGTTTTTGAATGGACCCTCCCCCCCCCCTTAAAGAATTCCTAGCTACGCCATTGGGTATGGGGATGCAGTAGACAGGAATACGGATGAGAGGGGGAATAAAGGGGCATAACGAAAAGGGATTCCTCTCGTTTCTAATCTTTTTATCTTCTTCGTCTTCTTCTTCTTCGTCACCTTCTTCGCCTCTTCCTTCTTCATCTTTTTCATCTTCTTCTTCTTCTTCTTCTTCTTCTTCTTCTTCTTCTTCTTCCTTTTCCTCTGGTACACTCCTTTCTTCTTTTCTCCTCCTTTCGTTCGTACCTGCTCACTGTTCCTTTTCAACTTTTCCTTTTATAGTCTTTCTTTTCTTCCTCCTTTTCTTTTTCTCCCTATTTCCGAAATTACTACATTAGGTTCAAAATGAAGGCATGGGCGAAAAGGCTCTTGGGTTGCATCGTTCAGAAATTTTTGAAAAGGGGCCGAAGGAGGCGAAAACGACATTGCAGTGGCTTTGAGAAAAGATATAACTTAAGCACTCCTGGAATAATCGAGTTGTTCACATACTCTCGAGCTCGCGAAATGCTTTGGAAGGGCTCAATGCGTGTGAAAAAATTACATGGTGCGATATCGAGTACGCAATACTGTATAGGTGTATGCAAAACTACAAAAATTGCGAAGCACATACATAGGATTAGTGACACAGCCGCTGGGCGGTTCTCGCGTCTGAAAACTGCGAAAAATTACGTATTTTGAGAACAATTTTCCTGCCGAGGGGGGNGGGGGGGGGGGGGAGCTGTGGACCCCGCCCTCTCGCCTCTCGCTCCCCATGACAGGGCCACAGCGCACAGGAACGTGGTTCCTAAACAAAATAATATTTCCGTATTACTGCTCCGCAGTGCTCAAAGTGCCATCTAAATGCTGCACCATCATTATGATCGAACTTAAGGAGATATTTGTAAGCTTGGGTGTTGATTATAATCAAAATAAAAGATACCATCGTGTTTTGGTGTTCGACCAAACTTTACGAGATCATTGTAGCATAGACGCAACTAGGGGGATTTTGAGGGGCACCGCATCCCCCCATAATACTTAAACCATTTATTTTCCGTGACGAGTCAAAATGAGCATCATAGCCCCAGCCGAGGAAAAAAGTTCTAGCTACGCCCATGGATAGATAACTGCATGATTCAGAACTCTGCCAATTATGCTGGAACTTCATTCTCCATATGATGCGCCATTAATTTGGTGATGAATTTTCGTAACATATGCGCATGCGTTAAATCACATCGCGGGTGCTCATCGTAGATTCTAACAAGTGATCCGATATGGGCGTGGTCGGGAAATTCCTCGCGACGAATAATGGGACGAAATTTTCACTTCCTTTGCCTTTCAAAACGGTTGATTTTAAATCAATATTACTGCCGTGCTAAGGAAGAACGCCGTATGAACCTTCAGGCGTTGCCAAATTTCCTTTGATTCAACAAAAATTTTCCAGAAAACTTATGATTATTTTTCTTCCAATTTTTCAGATTATTTTGTTCGCAATCATATAGGGTGTCTCACGAAAAACGAGCCACCTTGAATATCTGCCGAACGCGTCGGAATTTTGAAAAACGGTAAAAGTTGTGTTCGTTTATATCAAGGGGGACACCTTTTGGCGTATTCGACATTTTCCCAAACCGCGGGCGGGGCGCGGGGCGGGGGGTGCCCCACCCGTAAGTCGAACTTTTCAAATGGCACCCCTACTTTTTTATTTCAGAAATCAATTCTACGCCAAAAAACAAGCTACCCTGTCCAAACCGAATGTAAATCGGACAATTTTTCAGTGATTGAGAGAGTTTGAAACATTTTTTTCATGCTCTTTTCAAAAATTTCCCACGCCCAATGGAATCGCTGTATCAAACCAAACTCTCCGCCAAAAAAATTCTTAAACATTGCACTTTCGATAAAAAAATAAAAAAAATCTGCTGCACCCGAAATCTGGAGCACGCGGAGCCCTTCTTTGCGACATTAAAATTCGTTATACCGAACATTGCCGAGGGGCGCTCATCGGGAGGGAGTAGTAAGTTTTAGACAAGAATTATTAATCTTTTTTCTGAAGCATAAGAAACCGTGTCCATGAAGAAGCAGTTAAGTAGAAAAACAACGCACCGCGGAAAAATAGCGTCCTCAGAAGTATCAAGGTCCGGCTCAAGTCATTGACCCCCCCCCCCCCCCCCAAAAAAAGCTAATCCATTTGTTTTTCTACTTAACTGCTTCTTCATGGACACGGTTTCTTATGCTTCAGAAAAAAGATTAATAATTCTTGTCTAAAACTTACTACTCCCTCCCGATGAGCGCCCCTCGGAAATGTTCGGTATAACGAATTTTAATGTCGCAAAGAAGGGCTCCGCGTGCTCCAGATTTCGAGTGCAGCAGATTTTTTTTATTTTTTTATCGAAAGTGCAATGTTTAAGAATTTTTTTGGCGGAGAGTTTGGTTTGATACAGCAATTCCATTGGGCGTGGGAAATTTTTGAAAAGAGCATGAAAAAAATGTTTCAAACTCTCTCAATCACTGAAAAATTGTCCGATTTACATTCGGTTTGGACAGGGTAGCTTGTTTTTTGGCGTAGAATTGATTTCTGAAAAAAAAGTAGGGGTGCCATTTGAAAAGTTCGACTTACGGGTGGGGCACCCCCCGCCCCGCGCCCCGCCCGCGGTTTGGGAAAATGTCGAATACGCCAAAAAGTGTCTCCCTTGATACAAACGAACACGTCTTTTACCGTTTTTCGAAATTCCGACGCGTTCGGCAGATATTCAAGGTGGCTCGTTTTTCGTGAGACACCCTGTATATATAAGCACCGAGACCTCCTAAATTTGCGTATCTGGTAACGCTT